ATATATATATATATATATATATATATATATATATTTACAGTATATGTATATATTTACATTATATTGAATATGTAATTTAAATTAATTTAAACATATTGAATGTGAAATATGATGCATATATTCATATTGAATTAAATTTAATATTAAAATGTAGTTTCATGCAACTTAAAGGGAAAATTTGTAAGTAAATATTAAGTAAACAAAGGAAACACTGTGTAATTTTCCCGTGGCTGTGGTTGTTGTTCAGGTGTAGGGAAGGGGAATGGGAGCGACCTGAAGGTGAAGATCATAGTGAAGCGAGAGCTCGTCTTCCAGTGTGTTTGTGCCAAACAGCAGAACTGTGCGGTACGTGTCTAAAGCTAGACGTGATCATCAACACTTTTAACACGTTTCTCTGTTCTGTATAATAAGGGCAAAGCTAGCAGCTTTACTAGTGGCGTACTAAAGCACACATTCCACGTCATTCTAATCCTCCTGTCCCGTTCCGTCATGTGTTTTTCCCAGGTGTTTCCTGACACCGGTAACAATGCGGTGGTCATCAGTTTACAGGAAGGGCCTGTTGTGACTGGAGATGTGAAGGTCATGTTTGAGTCCAGTGCTGTAAGTCCTCCACTATTTTAGTATTGAGTTGACCCATATATGTGATGAAGTGTCGGCAGAACATATAAATGTTGTTCACTGTTGCTTGAACTTCCTTTTTCTCTCTCCAGGGTTTGCCAAAAGGTTACGAGGACTGTCCTTTCTATTTCTGGTTTAACACCTCTTTTGTTGAGAACAACAGGTGGGGTTTTTTTTGTCTGTAGTTTTGGAAGTTTTTTTTCTCTTCTGAGAGCTGAAATCTTTGTGTTGTTGTTTGTGTTGTAGCTTGTATCTCTCGAGGGAGGAGCTGGACAATCCACACAAATCAAAGACCTGGGACATCTATAAGGAGGACTTCGGAGTGACGTTGTATTTCACAGACCCTTGAGAAGAAAATTCTCTGACAGTGGATATTGTTTACTATTCTTGTCCTTTCGTATAAGTAGATATATCTCTTGAGGTATACTTACAATAAGCTGCAAACTGAAGCCAATGTAAACACTCCACATAAATCTACAGATATATAAGATTTGAATGTGATGTGTAAAAAATGTCATTGCATTTCCATGGTTGTTTTTGTGTGCAAAAAATGTATGGGAAATTCTTTGTTTTTGTACTGTGGTTCTGTTTATCTTTGGCAGCAGTTAAAATTATTCTGTGAAAGAAATGATT